TAGGTATACCTGTACTTTTAAGAACGATTTTGATACGACAGATATTAGTTTAAGTACTTCTACATATCTCTTGAGGAAGCGTCTTCTCTTACTAACATTGCACAAAACTTCATAGGTGGTCCTTTTTTGCACTTAAATAGTACATACCCAATTTCTGATCCTACAAGTTTCAAAAAATTTTGTGAAAAACGATCATTACCACTCACTTATAATTGATATTCTCCACTTGCTCTTCTATTTGCGACATTTTTGCTTCGCAAGCTGCAACTGATTTCTCATCGGAGGCGATCTGCAGCAATTATCTATTACTCATTGAATAATCAAATAATATCACACCGAAGAAAGAATCCTTTCGTAAGTATTAATAATTCCTGATCAAGCTATTAAAGGACAACGAAAATTACGTGTTCATTTTGATGCTTTAACCAACGCAAAATATATTCTCTGATATTTGAAACGCATAGTTTATTGCTACGTGAAAGTATTTCCATCATAACCAATGGATGAATGCAATTCGTTTGTTCGATTCTGTAATTAAAATTGACCGGTGTTATTTTTCATTTTTAATCGACTTTACTAAATGCAAAAATATCGAACAAAATGTTCTTTGCAAAGAACGACTCGATAAATGTAATGAAACAAGTTCAGAAATGGCATAACTTTCCAATAAATACTGGAGTATATTTGCATCGATATTGTCTTCACGAGATGCAAAAATGATTGCATCAATCCATAGTTTCCGACTTCTGCAAGGATGATTGATTTCAAGTGAATTCAATGAATAAACAAAGAAGCAACCAACCCGTTTCGTTCGCACAACTCGAACACTTCTTTTAGATTGTTCTGTCGCATATGATATTCGATCAGTTCATCGAACCTGAACATATCATATCATCAGTCGTTATTTACCAAACCGAAAATAAATTATACATCATCATACTTAAACATCATAATCTTCTCAACAAAAAACTGCACAAAAAAGACGCGAAACCAGAAAGGAATCATATTTAGAAGTATCGAAAAGAATCACTAAGTTAAATTAAATCGAATCACCGTTCCAAGCTAGTGTAAATGTGCACAATGCCAGGTGCGAAATCGAACATCTGACATATTTGTAATGCATTCGGCAAATCCGAATCACCAATTAAGGCCACTATTTCATCTGTGTTCATCTCTTGCTTGCCACTATCCTCAACAATCAAATCGTCACTCTCTCTTCAACAGTAGTTTCAACCAATAAAAACGCACCTCTCTACGATGCACCATCCATTGACGTAATCGCAACTCCAGAACAATATCGCGTAATTTTGAGTTGCATCTATCTGCCTCAAACGCAATCATCAAACATCAAACAAAGCGTTTACTTCCCTTCTACAGCACATATCACCTTAACCTCATCTCAACCACCAATCAGTAAACACTTTTTAATAAAAGTTTCTTGCTCAATTCAACCATTAAAAATGGACATTTCAACTGAACGATGAGAATGAAACAGAAAACTAGTAAAAACAAGTGAAAGTGATCCACCTGAAGTGCTAATTCCACGAAACGTGAGCAGTGTACGGTATCACCAACGAACATTTTCATCAAATGTGTTGCGTCGATTTTATCTTCAAATGTTTTTGGACAAAAATTATGAACAATGTGAACACTGTCGCCATACATAATTGACGATATCAAGTTTTTTTTAGTGAACTGTTCGAAAGCGAAAAACAAAATATGGTGAACAAGAAAAGAATGATTTCATGAATAAAACGGCACAATACAACATTAGATACATTGCTTTAAGTTCAATAATCACCAACCATTCGAAGCGATCAATTTAACCAGAAAATTCATCGTCTGCTCAGGGCATTTTTCCAGCAAAAGTTTACCATATTTTTCAAGATATTTCTCCACCTGAAATAGCAAAAAGAATTTTAGATAAAGAAGACAATGCATATGAACAATAAAAAGAGTTCGTATAAACACCAAATCATCATCCATTTTCTCGATACACGCCAATGCCACCGCGTACTCAGCACAATCATCCACGTGAATGCTCAGTAAAGTATCATGTAAACCGTTCTCTTCACACAATCGACATGCTTCAACTGTGAAATTAGCACCTCGTAAAACCTGAATTTTATAAATCACCTTTGAAGTAACATCATTTAAAAAACGAACACAATCAAATGAAGTTATGGAAGAAAGACTAACCTGTACAGCAACATCAACATCACAACTCAGTTTTTGTTTTATGAATAAATCAATTTTATGACGTGCACCTAGTTTTGCATAACAATTGATGAGTATTGTGGTGTGTTGAGCTGTCGCTTGACCTTTCTTGTGTAGCATTTCCAAGTAGGAACACAATTCTTTGATACGTGATCCATCAAGAAACTTAAATTGAACTAACATTTTCTTTTCACAAACAAATCAATTCGACCGATTGATCGAACAACAAAACCACAATTTTGTGACATGGATAATGAATAGATAATATAAAAGCAACGAACATTTCCAACGGTTGAATAATTTAACCATCGAAACAGAATTATGAAAATCTGACGATGGTTCATCCCACCAAGAATCAACCAAACAAGCTATTACAATGAATTGTGGAGAGGAGAATTAATGTGATTTCTACCTTTTTAATGACATACGAAGGTTCAAGTGAACCGATTGTTTCCACGTATTGCTTAACGGCATTTTCAAAGTCACCGCTCCTGTAGCACAACTGATTCAATTTCAGAATGGCAACTCGACGACAAATATGAAATGCCATTTATACATCATCAAACTTGTTCCATACAAAAATGAAAGCATATGCTAATTGCATGGTTATATCGACCGCCGACGCAGAAATCAAACGAAAGTAAGAATGATAATTTTAGTGAAAAAGGACATACACGAAGAGGTAATCACCATATTTTGTGCAGATATCTGGCAGATATTCATTGCCCACTGGACTTCTCTTTGCCAGCCTGAAGTGTACAGAAGAAGTAAGGCTTCAAAACCCGTAGTTTTGAAGTTCAAACCTCTGGATAAGTGTCAATGTATTTTGATGATTTGATATTACAAGATATGAGTGTTGCTTATTATGTATGTGTTTATGAAAGATGCTCAGCATGAACTCTGAAAGAATCTGAATCCTGCGGCTACAACTTCAATGTAAATCCGAGGTGAACCTCGATGCCAGAGTGAATCTCAGTTTAAACCTCGCGATGAGCTTCAACCAAAAGCATGAACTTGAGGTTTGCAAACAATTCGGCTCCCTTTCGTAAACACACTGATTACAAGGTGACCGACCTTTTGTAATTTTCTGTATTTGTAACTTTCTGTGGCTCAGAATAGTCAGTGGATAAGTTCGAAAGAAGAGTTATAGTGAGAAGGGTAATCAATGAGAAATGTTTACGTTGTGAAATAAAGCAGTAAAATCACTCACCCGACGGCTAGATCGAAAAGATTTTTTTTGAGCAAGAGATCGAGTTTAGTTTTGATATGTTTTTCGATGAGATGTGATAGAGTGCCATCTGCACTCAAGATCATCAGAGATGAATCGAGCAAAAAGATGCGAGACACTGACGGTAATGCGCATGAGAATGCAACGCACTGACCTTCTACATCGTACACCGACAACACGAATGTCCAATTATCTTGCGATGAACTGCAACCATACAATAAGGCAACCGATGATACGTTAGTTCAATGAAACATCAACGAACCACATCGACGACGGTTGTTTGCTCAGTAATGTCACATAATTGTTAAATGCTTTCAGTTGAACCTTTTGATTACTTCGGCCGAGCGCATGACACTTTCCACGTCCACCGTCTATATCGGACAGCAAACTCTGTTCGGCCTCATAAAAATGTACCATCTAAACTATATGGCTGCAGTACTATCGCTGTATAAAAAGTGAACGTCACTGAGCAAACTTGAAATGACTAATGAATTGGACGCAGAAAAGAATCACTCAGATAAAGATCACCTCAGTACTGCCAACGACGAGTCGATTGTCCTCCTCTGAGAAACTCCAACAGTCACGAAGACATCCTTTCGCATCATGCATCACCTATGCACACAATTAAGATTCTCTATGAATTTATTCTTTTATTGTTCATTCTCAACTTCATTTCCAACTGAATGAATATACCATCTCCTCTGATGTGAAAATGAATAAAAAACAAGCCAACCAACCGTTTTAATGATAACTTTATTCGAGATCACAAACGACTGCACACTAACAGAAGTCATTACGTAAAGAACACATGCGTTTTTAGATTGCAGCCATGCAATCGCCAGTCCACTCACTTCATCACCCGTTCCTGACATTGTGCCATTCACTATTGTCAACCATTTTGTCGGCCTTCAATTGATTATCATTAATATTAAGATAAAAGAAAAATAGTGATGAGGCTTCATAGAGAAGTGATAAATGAAGTCATAACTTACTTTTCTTTTAATAAATTACCATGATAATAAATGACCGATGAATCAGAGAAACCAATTGCAAAATGTTGTAAAGATGAGTGCAATGTGACGATACACGCTTGCGGATGGCAACTGCTTGATTCTAATAACTGACATGCACGTATCACACGACCACAGAACGGTGCTTCTTTTTCACATCGATCCATATGCCATAATTTCACCAACGAATTCACACCCTCTTCATCCTCCTTTAATGTTATTTCATTTGAGCCATTTGCAAGCTGACTGATAAATAAACCCAAATAAACCATATACTCACACCAACAGTCGCCAAAATATTGCCACACAAACAAATGCACGCCAATGTACGTTTATGAGCGATCCAACAATATTCATCTAGCTTTTTGGAGAGTTTAAAAATGGCTCCACCTGGTTCACCGAATAACGTGAAACCATCGCCAGATTGTGAACAGCACGCAACCAGATTCTTAAAACAACATCTCACTTGTGAACACCTTACGAGAGTCAGTCAGTTGCTCTAAATCAGATGAACTAGTGAAAAATCATTGTGATCATCAACTAGACACTCAATAACAACTCTCCTGCTCACTTCAAGTCCTTTGAATTTCTCAGTTGGATTCTGTGGATCCATCACAGCTCGCTTCTCGAAGAAAGTGAACTGCCGCCACCCTAGCTCCACCAATGACATCGTTCACTTTCTATTCTATAAACACAAAACCCACATCTTCATATCCGTACGAATCAACAATGCCAAATTATATATCATTCATTCCTTCATTTACGCATACAAATACAAAAAAACGCTATTATACACAAAACGACCAACTTGCTATTGCACCCAAATAAGGGAATAAGTAATAGTATTCTTAATAAGTAACTGTAATTCAATTCAAGTATTTTCACGTCTGAAAGTGGATCGAGTATGAACGACTGTGTTGATGTGATTGCTGCAGGACAATAAACAAAATCAACATTCACCAATAATTAATTTATTTCATCGATAGATGACGATAACAATAACAATAATGTTATCATTGCAATAATTTAATAATGATAATAATAACAATAACAATAACAATAATAATAATAATAATAACAATAACAATAATAATAACAATAACAATAATAATATTAATGACAAGTACTGTGCCATAATATAATGAACAACAACAACAATAAAATCTGATATCAATCAACGCTTCTTATACATGCATGCTTGCAATTTCAAGCCAATGGGTCGCTTCTGCGTCACTTTTCCAATTTTGTTGAATTCGAGTATTACGAAATAAGAATCCTTGGTGGCTTTCTGCAAAACAACTGAGTAATACTCTTCACCGCGGTGACATCTTACAAAGTCATTTCCAAAAGTAGTTTCTGTTTTTCATCAATACATCACCATCCATCAAGTAACATCTCTTTGCAACAATCATTAAATCAGTCCACTTCACCTTTTCCATAAGTTCGAATCCCATCTTTCCAACACCATGAATGAATTGCTTCAAGCTCACAAAACGACTACCAACTTCAGCGATTTTCATTATGCCACTAAAAACAGCATCTCAATTGAATATATTTAACATAAAAATAATAATGAAATCAAAATAATTACATATATAAATTTATGTATTTGCAAAATAATACAAAAAGAGATTGCAATTAAACCTTACCCTCGTTTCAGAATTCGATTGGCCTCACGTAAATAATCACTTAAATTCGTACCCATAAGCGATAAACAAAAGACAGCCACATCAACAGACTCTTTTTGTAAAGGCAACTGCAAATGACTCTGTTTTGTAGATATATCACTGAAGATATTCTTTAATCGAAAAGTAAAACGGAGTCAGTAAATGGACTCACAAAACAATAAAAGTGTTAATGATTATAAGATGCCTGACTGCATCCATGTTTCTAGATTACTACTCAACAAAGCCAGGAGTTGCACGACCCTTATAGTATAAACCTTGGCCATATTACATGTAGTCACTCGATCATTCACGGCCACCAAATCGAACGAATGCACCGTGCTGATGTCTGACAACAATTCGGCAATTCTCGCCTCACCACACCCTAAATCTGCGATCACCAAACGTTGTTCGCTCTTATTGATCATTGTTCGTAACCACTGAATGATACCGTTCAACGGATTGAATGGCCACTTCTTCATCTGAAACGAATATGGTTTCGATTGGAACACACAACCGAGCTGTGCTACCTGTGAACGATAGCCATGATGGTAGATTTGAAATGCCTGTGGATCGTGCTGAAACATTTGTAGCGCTTCTTCACCATTGCATGAATAGAGCTGTTGATTAATGAAACGAAATCGAGCACATTCCAATCGTTTTTGTGCATCTGACAACGACGATGAATACGCCGTATCATTCTCGTTCACTGTCGATGTCGCATCTACACTCGGATTCGCTTCAGTCTTTTTCTTGCTTTTCTTTTTCTTCTTCTTCTTCTTACTTTTCTCCTTCAAGACGGCTCCTTGTACCTCCTTTAATGCGGCATTCTCACTCACTGAAAAACACACATTTATTGATACAACCACTTTGATGATAGATAATTCACATGTTCACTCAATAAACCACTTGTTAATTCTCAAATCACACGTGATGTGTCATGCTCTACCTGATTGATCATCACATAGTCACAGAGACACATTCGAAAAGATACATTTCAAAAATAGCTCCACTTTACCTGCATTTTGTCTTTGTAATTTTGCAGCTTTTTTGGCTGCTTGCTTGCGAATCTTGTTACGCCACGGACGTCGCTTCGCTTTGTTGATCACCTGAAATGTTCACTCGTAAAAATACGAACAACCGTCCAGAAAAACAACCGTTTTAGAAGTATTGATCATCGTAATTCGAGCAGCCACAATGGACACTTCACATAAACTAATCATTTCTTGTGATTAATTCTCGATCATCATCGTAAAACAACCTCCATTTCAGTTAAAAAAAAACAACTGAAATTTGGTGTTGCATTTGTATACAAGCAACTGACATTTGATTGTACTTCAGGTATAGTTTTCACTGTATCAGTGATGTCACAGAGAGACGACTTTGGTCTTTTTGCTTTCAAACGCACACTGGCGCCATCCTCAGTTATCGCTTCCTCACTTCTTTTCCGACTGGACTTCATCAGCAATCCAGTGATGCTTCCTTCACCTCAAACTGTTTATCTGCAATGAAGCCGTGTGTACTGCACTTTTCACCGACACCAACGCTGTAGCCGTAAAGTCTGAATCGTCACGCTATGAAATGAAATGCTCAACGCTCTGGTCGTCGCAACGAATGAAACTGAATGTGCATAGAATGGAAAGAAAAGATATTCTGGTCGAGTGTGAACAACATTGCGCATAAAAACGAATGCAAACAATCTGATAGATTTATTCACTCAATCAGTTATGAATAAGCAACAACAATAATCAACAACTTCTTCTGCATTCATTCATTCATCAACAGTAACAAACAACTCATAACAACACCACCACCGCAAATCACTTTCATCTATCAAATCCTTATTCAATCAGATTACATTCCAATAAATCATAATCATTCTTCTCTCATTCCGCATTTAATAACAATAAACATTTAACGTCTGTCTGTTTTACCAATACCACGCTTTCCACAGAATAAATGTTTCGTAAGTTTCACAAAGACACGATGATCCGCTTCACCTTTGCGTGCTTCACGTCTAATTAATTTCTGTCCTTGACGAGCTATCTTGCCAGCCTTCACGCGTAACTACAACAATAATTAACTAATAACATTCATCGTTTATCATTAGTATCGATCAAGTCAAACATTACACCATCATGGTAGCACTATGTTTTCACGATTAACCACTGAATTTTTAATCACTGAAGAGGGGTAAGCCTATCGAAATTGGAGGCAAATAAACAACTTCCATTTAATTCCACAAAAAAAAACATTCAAACTAATCGATGAAAGTATTATTACAACTGTTCATACTTCTTGTACAAAAACGTTACTAGGTTCGGAGCTACATTTGAAGTTTCGTGTTGAGATCGTAGGAAAGTAATGAGATGCAAAGAATTAGGACAAACCTTAGTATCAGAGACACCTAGCACGTCTCGACTAGGTGCACGCTTGGCAGGGTATGACTGACTTCTGCCGACACGAATCTTTTTAGCGGTTGGTTGTCTTTGCTGTTCACCCATCAGATTCTTCATACGCTTCGAATCGATATCAACACCCAACTCCTTCAACTCGCTTTCGAGTCTTTGCATTGTTCGTTCACGTTTACGAGTTATTGAACGAGACGTGCGTGGTCGTTCAATACCCTTTTTGCAACGACCTTCCTGAATTGCACACATCACATCAGCACTTCGATCAATCACTATAAAACAAACCAACCATTCTCAGTTCATCTTCCCTGTGACGAATCTTCTTCGCATCTTCCATGAGTTGTTTCGTTTCTTCGTCCTCTGAATCTAGATCCTCATCGTAGTAACTGCAAGGTGACATCAATTTCTCAATCTTTCATCTCATTGCATTAAATCGTTTCTTATCTCTCTTGAGTACATTTTGATGCCGATAATAATAATAATAATAACGATAATAATAATCGATCAATTATAATGATAATACCAGCACTCTCACTTACCCAGCCTTCAACCTTTCTTGTTCTTCCTTCTGAATAGCATCCAGTTGAGTCATGATATCCTTTTGCGCAAAATCAGCAATATTATGACCTTCCCATATTTCCGGAACGATATCGTACTTCTCTTCATTATTCTTCAGATCATAATGCTCTACAACATTGGTACTGTGATAGTAGTAATATAGAATACGTTAACACGATTATACCCACGCAGAATTAGAACGATTTCGCAAGGTTTGCCCCCAGAAAAAAATCACAGAAAACGAAATGTGGGGAGGGGAACCTTCTGGGGCGAAGGTATCCAAAGGTGAACGTTCCAGGGCGGAATGTAGCGGGCAAACCTTTCACGTTCCAATTCAAGCATATCATTAACTGCATCAATGGCAAAAAAGCTAACAGCAATTTGCAAGTGACAAAACAAGGCGTCACCAAGAACAAGCATCAAAAATTACTTTGCAGGTCGAGAATGTACTCGTCTTGCATCTCCAGTTCGATCTGTCGTTCTAATTTGCGAGCGAGTGGATCCCGTTCGAATGTTTTACCATCAGTTATCGCTGTTCGTTTCTCGATTACCTTCTCTGGTACGAATGCAGCACGTACCTGGAATATGCGGACGATATGATATGAATCGATTCAATGAATGAATGAATATTGCTTACTTTATCATCTCGAGGTGTTGGATAAGCCACAAAGATACGACTGAGTACTGCATCGTCCAAGTTTCCTTTCTTTGATTGTAATTTACTTTGAACACGTTGCGTTAATAAGTCATCACATGCCTAAAACACCCATCAATGCATCGCTGAATCGATTCAACAAACGACAATACTAATAAGCAATCAACAAAAATAATTACAACACCTTGTTTCTGAATTCGGTTATTCCCTGTTGCGTGACTGTGCTCACTTCAACGATTCCTATTGAATGCTGCTTTTCAAGATTTGCCAACAGAGCAGCCTTTTCTGACGGTAACGCATCTCTGTTGACGATATCCACCTTATTTAAACCGATAAACACTGGCTTATTGGCGAACAGTGGATGAATACTTTCAAAGAGTGCTATCTAAACAGTATCATCAAATTACAATAAAATCAATACAGCAATATAAAAACAATAATAATTATTATTATGACAATATGACCTGCTCATTAATTGTATGATCACATTGTTCACTGACATCCATTACAAATAAGACTGCAGCACGCAGATGAGCCAAAGCAGTGACTGCTTGCATTTCGATTGTATTTCGCTCTTCTAGTGGCTGATCGAGAATACCTGGTGTGTCAATAACCTGAATTTGTAATGTTATGAACTGATGTTATGATTGGAACAACATTAATGAAGAATGAACACGAACAAAAAACAAAGCTCACCTGCCATCGAAGATATTTATAATCAAAATGCCCAACATACAATGCTTTCGTCGTGAATGCATACGGCTGCACTTCAACATCGGCACGTGTCAACTTGTTCATTAACGACGATTTACCAACATTCGGAAATCCACAAAGGATCAGGGTTCTGAACATACTCGGTTGAATGCACTGATGTAATACGTTAGCAGCATATCAAAGACGCAACAAAAAAGACCTTGTATTAGGATCTATGCTGGGCAATCGCGACAGATGTTGTCGCACCTGTTCGAGATAATCAAAACTTGACTTCTGTCGTTTTAGTAGTTTGACCATTCGTCCGAGTGCAGCACGCTTGAGCATTTTGCAACGATACAACGAGTCACCATACTTCATCAGACGCACGTACTCACGTGCAATCCTGAACAATCATCATTACGCATAGCAGCACTCTTTGACCAGACACATTCATGTGATGACCTCTTTCGCACCTCTTCTATCAATTTCTTGAAGTGTTTCACTCTAACTCTAACAAAATCAAGCTCTATTATCAACTAACAAACAAAGTGCTTTTTTATCGAATCACTCGAACAGATCTAATACATTATCAAAATTTCTTCTATCTGAATTCAGTTGAAATCTCTTCGAGTAGCAGAATACTTGCCCTGCGAACTGATCAGTTAATGAATTAACAACAAACGAAGTTTGTATCACTCACCCATCAATCAGATGTCTAGCTGTATTCATCTGACCCAATGCAATCTTGTAATGATCCTTATCGTACAGAATATTCATCAAATCCGCGTAAAACGGATGTACGTCCTCAAATGGAAACGTGATCATTAAATTCGTCTCAATTTCTGCACTATTTCAAACGTTTTTCCACTTCTCCCAGTACAATTACAATTCATTAAACAACTGCATTACCATCTCTAAAAGTCCTCCATTTCAAATTGAATGAGNAGAGATGAAAGTACTAAGCAAGTGAATGACATCAGGCCAAATGCGAGCCGAATTAATCCATTCACTTATTACAAATAACCGAAAGTTTTCTTTGATCCATACAGTACTGCTGATCAAAACATGAAACCTGACGCATACAAAAAGATGTTGCTACTAGTCATACGGTGCAAGTGGCAATGAAAACTGTTTGAAAGCGACTTTCACGTTTCGAGATTCAGTGATGTCTCTTGGTCGCCAATATCACCTTAGCTAACTTCAGTGCGGTTATCTTAAGGACAGAGTGTACGCCGGAAAGCCCCATGCATCTAAGGTATTGGAAGAAACATTCGTAAATAAAGCACACGCATTCCAATCGATGAGCTAATTAAGGCTTTCTTCGCAATGTTCAATACCACAGGAATATAATATTCAAGTCACTTATGATTTTTTTTGGATAAGTTCTATTAAAATTAATGTGCTAAGTAAACAGCATTTTAAACTCCTATATGTCAGCTATCTAATCATCGTATTTTAAACTCTATGCCATTTTTAGATTCGACGATATTCGTACTTAAAATATGTGACGACAATTAATAGCCTATCTGTGGATAGATATTCATACTGTTCACCACTCAGCCTTACTTCATTCCGTTTTTTTTTCATTCACTTGAATACTATAATTTATTTCAAAGTCATTCTGTTTCACTGATGCTATTGCTGATTCGTTACTATCGTCACTACTTCAAAATGTGTCTCGATCGAACAGTGAAGCAATGAACAAAGAAATGGACCAATGAATACCTCAACTTTTGGAAATTCGGTAATGATTTGCGTGAGTTTATCGTGAAGAGTCTGCTGCAGAAATTTGATTTTGCGTGAATAGAATGCACGTATGCGACTGATTGCATACTGACGATGCACTACAGTTGGGGTCTTGCGTTGTGTTTTTGATAACACCACTTCTTTTAATTCCTTAAAATTACTTCTCACCATTAACACAATTAGTACCAATTCAAATAAACGATTCTCGTATAGATTTTGGTAGAGCACTCTTGGTTGTGAATATTCATTCGTTCAGTCATCGTTGTTGTCGTAGTTACGGCAGATATTTCAGGACATGCAGTTTCTTGAAGTGTTGATCGCAATATCATGGAATATGAATGTAGTGAAAACAAATGAAAATCAATTAAAAATCAATTGAGATAACGATAGATTCAGACAGAGAAAGGATTAATGCTTTCGTTGACAGGTAAAAACTAACGGCTGCCGATGGAACGACGGTGATTTTTTTGAAATTGTATAACGAAGTCATTGTTGCGGTAACGTGTCCTGAGCAAACTCACGTCTTGCTCTGCTCGCAGCGACTGAAACGTTGAGACCTTCCCAAGACTGCAACGAAATTTAGTTGAGGCTCATAACCTGTTAGGAAAGATAGGAGAGACTCTTCATGACGTACATGTATTTACTGGAGATGACGAAATAATTCTGAACACTAATTGCTGAAAATAAACAATTCGACACACAATCACAAATTCAACATTAAAACTGTTCTGGACACATTTTTGATCAACTACATCAGATACTTATTTGCTCATTGTTTTTTTAAATATATACACCATATACCTCCGAATACACATTAATTCCAATTTGAGTGTAAATCAAATAAAGATTTTTGTCGTCGAATATGTTCTTCACCTCAATTCTATAACCGCACTGAAATGTTCTTGTTCCCTCCCTCAAGCTGAACATTCCTTCAAACAATTCGGTCCCCATCCTCGATTTCTCTCCTCATGCATCAACCCAAAATATTTCATTTACATTCGGAATTATACGGTATAGAATACGTGCATCTTCTTCAACAGTTCAGTTGCCATCGTTTTTTGTCTAATAATGCATAGTGAGAAACGGTTGAAGAAACGGTCAGTTATGTGCTAAATACAATTAAAATACAATATGGAACGATCGCACTGAAATGTGGCACGATTTCAACATGATAAATGACCATAATTTGTGATAAAAAGGGATGGCTGAGGACAAAACAAAGGGGTGCAGATCGAATTCGTAAAACAATCAATCAATATCTCTACCTACTTCAAACCTTTATCTTATTCTTAACATAACTTTTTGAGTTTTGTTTTTTCGTTACATACTGCTATATGATCTTCTTTATAGTTTACGAAGTTAATCACTACTTCGCTAATCTGCTGCTTTAAGTTACAATATAAAATCATCTGGCCAGCATCATCACACAATCAGTGCTTTCATCCGTTGCTCCATAAACAAACCTGCCACAGAGTGCTGAGTGCCCATCCATGAAACTCCATATGAAATCAGACACCCATCAGAAGAATCAGACATGGAACCAGGATGGGCACATTTATATCATTACAAATTCACAATACAAAGAACCGTACTCTCACAGCTACATCAACAATTACCTCAGGCGACCGTTCCAATTGATTACCACGTGAACTGATGTAAATTTGCGGTATTCCTTATTTGTTGTAAGAAAACGAATGGTGGCGCAAGTTAATATCAGGTTTGTATAAACGCAATGTTAGGTATAGCGGCGGATGTTTTTCGTTCACATTAAAAGTGAACAGTAGGTCGGCCTCGTGCCACCCAAGACGCTAACTTGTCTGCGCTCTAGCCACTTTTATCAAAGAGATGTGCGCATCTTCGAACAACGACGATATCTTCCGATTTGAGTTTTGAAGTCGACTTCGTATACGAACAGTGGCTGAATAATATGTATGTGTTTTCAAAATGCATCAGAATTTTTTGAAGGAAGGTGCCTCTGAACCAGGTATAAGGAATCAAATGAGTTCTGATGCTTGACGTGATGGCAAAGTATAGTATAATGAGAAGACCAGAATATAAGTTCCGTAGAGAAAGCATTTTCAGTTTGCTAATTATAAGAAGCGATGTCACCGAAATAAGGAGCGTAGTCGGATGAATGCACAAGTCACAGCAGATCCTGCTATAACGCATCGAGTTTTGATTAATTTCAGAAAGTATGTTCTGCTGCTTCAATTTAGAAATCAATTAAGAACACAAAACTGAATCTTTGATCACATGACGCAAACAACAATATCAGTGTAATTTAAAAAAACTTTTACACTATCTATTGGAATTTTATTATAACCATAACCGGAAAAAATGAAAGACATTGTTGAAAATAATTCACAAAAATATAAATGAACTTCCAATGACCATCTTCTTTCTTCAAATGTTTTCAGTCTATTGTTGGCTTTCATGATCAAAACGTCCATATAATACGAGTGCTCTGACGAAATTGGATGTCATTTAAAAACACACAAATATAATCAGCACATAAATTTATTTAAAGTGAACAATCCTCATCGAATATCATGAAATTCATCAATTTCATAATATGACTTCTTAAGAATGTTTCTCATCACTGGCAAAATTAAGATAGTCCCCGGTAGAGATTTCAACTCTGCATGACATATATTCTGGTTTCCATAAAAACTCTATCGCAGTATACTGTGACATGCACATACCTCATTTTGTTTGATGATATTCCTTATTTTGGTGGCACGATTTCTCAAAAAGTTTTCTAACAATTTGACATTGAAAATGGTTTCTGACAAAGACGTTAATCCCCTATGAAAGTTACGTTCTCGTTCCCATTAAAACTGCTTGCAGTATGCCGTAATTTGCTGCAATACGCTTCACCAGATCAACTTTTTGAAAAAGTTTCTCACAAATTGCAATTCGAAAATAAATTTTTGTAGAGCATTTAATTCTTTCTAAAACGTGCTAACTTGTCCCACTCACGATCAGTTTTACTTCTCATGGTTCAAAACGTTCGGCGATTGACTGATTTCTTTCTCAATCGCAATTGCAATTGCACATGTTTGTT